AAAAAAGCTTGGATCTGGGATTTTGATTTGGCCTATCCTTTGTTCCCTAATTGCTGGCCTGCAAACTTAACCTGAGTATGTGTGAAACTGATTTTTCCTTCGTAAGTGGAGCACTTTGCATTTGTCTTTGTTAAACTTCATGCTGTTTACCAAAGACAAATGCAAAGTGCTCCACTTAGGAAGGAAAAATCAGTTTCACACATACTCAGGTTAAGTTTGCAGGCCAGCAATTAGAGAACAAAGGATAGGCCAAATCAAAATCCCAGATCCAAGCTTTTTTGTCTTTTTTAAAGGGTCAGAACAAACCTGTGGATCTGAACTTGAGGATTTAAAATCCACATTCCTACCCAAATTTCTCCAGATGGCTAGAAAATGTCCAGGAGTAGGAAGTTTTAATTGATTTAAAGTATTGATCAGTGAGTCTCAAGAGGTTAAACACATCTGATAGTTTGACTGCTTCTCCAAGGCTTGTCTGAACATCAGTGGTTTGGATATCAGGTTGGAAATCTCTTGACAGAAGACTTCACAAGATTTCTAGTAGGACCAGGTTTGGGCTGAGCCAAAGACACCAAGAGAGCAGCTTTTCATAGTGTTTTAGTCTTTCAGTTTACATTCCCAGCTGAAAACAAGAAATGCAGAAGTGAGTAAAATAAGTTAAACTTCTTTGAACCTCAAAAAAAGCCTGGATTCAGTTCAATCATATGAATGCTGACTAGGTTCAGATGCAGCAGCATTTTGTGCCCACTCCCCCAAAATCTTCAGGGCCTTCTAAAGAGGATCTTTCTCCTAGCCCATTCTTCCTTTGCACCTTCAGTGAGAAGGATGGACTGTCAATCCAAGATCCCCCCACTGACAGACTCCAGTTTTTCTCCCACTCCTAAATCCTTGATGTTCCACTTTCACTTGCAATCAGGTAATCACCAATGTTTTGAGCTGCACTGCTGCCTGCTACTCTGCCTCGGCCCCATTCAGGCCTTCTCCTGTCATGGGTCCTGCTTCCCAGATCCAACAACATTGTCTTAATCCAGATATGGAATCAATTCAGTTCCAGTTTCCGGTGAAGGCTGAGTTGTTTCTCACACCAGTTCCCTATGCCTAATCTAGAGTCAAATTTTTAAAAGAGAGGTCCAATTGTGTGTGTGAAAATGTGAGCAGTTGTAAATTGAGTGTTGCAGTTACCTTGACCACAGTTGCAAAGGGGGTATTTACACATGCCTTTGCATGCATAAAGTTATGATCTGTACTCATAATTGCAAGAACTGTACATGCAAATGTAGGCACACACATTTTTGAGCATGGATCTTAAGCCTCTACATTTAAAAATGTGACCCATTAACTAATTTTGAATTAAAACTGGATGTGGCCACAGCAAATGCCTAAATGATCCATTGGATGATTTAACTGATCACTGCAGTCAGCTTTAACAAATGAGATACCTAATAATAAGATACTTCAGAGACAATTATATCATATTTGGAACATCTAAATAATCCTAAATTGGCTTCAGTACAGCTTGGTTTAAATAGTCTTTAAATACAAAGACATGGGATCCAGAAATGGCATCTACAAAAATATTGCAAATGTCACTCAGATATTAAACTGTTTAATAAAACTGCATTTAAAAAATCTAACAGTATATTTACAACAAAATGTGAAAGGAATGGGCAGGCACTTACATGGGCATATTCTTTTTTGTACATATACAAAGGGCTTGATCCTACTTTCCTTGGAATCAAATTTGTCAGTTAGTTATCTAAGTGGGTTATTTGTCAGTAAGTTATCTAAGTTATCACAATACATGTGAGCAGGAGAATAAAGCCCAGAGTTTCATAAGTAGATTTAAAGTTAGGTCGTTAATTCATAGTTAGGCTTCTAAACCAATGGCCTGATTTTCAAAATTGCTGAGTATTAAACAACTTCCACAGACTTCAAGGGGCACTGCTAGATGCTCAGCACTTTTGAAAATTAGGCCACTTATTTAAGCACCTAAATAAGGTTCTATGGGTGGCATTTTCAAAAGCATCTGAGTTAGGAGCACAGTCCCAGTGAAAGTCAATGGGACATGTGCTCCTAAATCACAAAGCACTTTTGAAAGTCTCACGTTAGGAGGATAATTTTAAGCACCCACTTCTGAAAATCAAGCTAAGATTTTCATAGTCCCCATTTCCCTCAAAATGGCAACAGAAAAGTTGAATTGTTGCTTAAAAGATCAGCCAGTGACTATGTATTGGATAGAAATGACAAGAGCTAATAAGTTTCTTAATCCCAATAGCTAGCTTTGAGGGGAAGAAGGAGAATAATGATACAAATATTTTTTATAATGAATATTAAAAAAAATGGAAAACGGGAAAAAAGATATAGACAGATAATCATGTTTCGTATATGAATAGTCTTGTAAAATGGAATCCAGTCATGATATTAGCCCCAAATAATATTCTGAAAGGCTATCCAAGCAGAATGTACATCAGCTGTTAGATTACTTCATTCCTTCACAACAGTTGTTCATCTGAAAATAGCTTTCAAATGAAAAGAGACAACTACAAAAGGATTAGTTACTATAGGCACCATGATACCCCCACTGGATTATTTATGGCAGAATACCCAGAGACAGAGCTGTAAGAGAGTTAAACTCTAAGATTAAAAAGAAATGTTAGGAAGGGGCTAAAGGAACATAGGACATACAGTAACCGGTTTTAGCTCTATACCATTGCCGTAGATTTCCTTCATAATGGCTGATGCTTGTTGTTTCCTCTCTTTGACCATGGCAGAATGTGATAACATTGTGATTGTCTGGTGGAGTTTTCCTCACTGAAAAAAAAAATCCACATTTTTACATTGTTAAGCCAGTGTGCAGAATCCAGTTGACTTTTATTTCTAGCATTGTCTTCAGAATAATTAGTGAGCATACTTATTTCTAAGTTGTCTTTTTAACAATGCCAAAGACACTGGCAATCATTCCTTGCAAACATCTGATCAGAGACATGTTCTCCGATGCAAGGATAAGAAGTCCTGAGTGACATACTGTCCTTTGGCTACACACATTCTGTAGCAAGATAAGTGCCAGTGGTCTGGGCCTTCTCATTTCCACACACTATGTTTAAAAAAAATTGCAAATCTGTGATTTATTTCATATGCTGTCTTTTGTTAACCCTTGATCTACAGTCTTAAAAATAGGAAAAATTCTGGCAAACTGCTTAAAGTGACAGCAAAAAGGTTGATGAGCTTGCTAAAGCATCTTTAAATAAGCAAAGAAAGTGGATTCCCCACTAGATAAAAATATACATCTTATTTTATTCCTGAGATAAGATGTTACTTAAATGTCTTCCATGCCACAGATTGTAGGACAAACAGTGTCAAAATATTTCAGGAAACAATACACTTACCCTATTGTTAGGCTTTGTTGTTCAGAAAAAAGCAATCCCAACCCCTTTTGGTGAAGTTTCTGGAGTTTGTTATGAATGGGGTATGATCTGCCTGGTCCTGGATGGTTTCTATCCTTCTGGTTGGGTCTGCATGGTACCTAGTACAAAGACAAACAGGAGGCTGACCCTCTCCAAAGAGACTGGCATCCAGCTGACATCAGCCAGCTATATATAGAACCAAACACTTCAGCTAGTCATATCTTCCTGGTGAAAGAAGAGAACAGAAAGGATTCAGCTGTACCCACCACAAAGAGAGTGTATCTCTTCCAGAGCTTATTGGGAGATTTCATGGAATGCTCTCGTCATACTTGTTCAGATCATCCCATCATCACCTTGAAGAAGAATAATCTCCATGTTATAACCAGGGGAAAGACATTTAAAAATAAGGTGATAAATATATGATGAGGAAGACTATATGATGGGAATGGAATGGGCTAATCCTTCAATGAAAGATAAAACCGTACCTTTATAGTAGCTGATGACTAAAGTTAGTGGCAGACGGCTGATGTACAAAGCCTACTCTTAAAAAGAAATCAGAAACCTGCAGTGTTATTTGAGTTAAGACAATACTTTTACAATAGGCTACAGTTTGTCTCAAGAAATAGTACAAGAATTTGTCTCATCATGATTTTTTTAAATTGATTTCAGAAAACTGCAATAATTTAGAATCCATTAATACCCAATATACTGTATCACTTTATGCTAGAAACTTGTTATATGTACGATCCCAGGTATCCCAGGACAGTAGCTACCTTGTCCACCTGCCAAAGAAAACACTGAGGTTGTGCCCCCCTCCCTTTTATGTATAAAAGGTACCTGAATGGTAAAGGAGAAGGAGATGAGGAGGCTGTTTTTCTGGTTTTGGTTTTGTTGGGTTTTTGTTCTAAAGAAGTTCTGTTTTCTGCTTTTTTTTCCACATCAGAAATTGAGCTCTTGCCTCCCTGGAAGACTCAGCAGAGGACTGGTAGGATTGTGACATCACAGTACAAAAGAAGTGAAACCTGGATAATTGAGTTTGGATGTGAGTTTTATCCAGGTTCTTTAAAACAGATATATAATTGTTAATAGCTTGTAAGCAAGAGGCCCCCTCCATCTAAAAATATATATATATACACACTGTATAAAATTCAAACAAACATACTTATAAACATAAACCTCGGCCTAAGCTTTCTCCTCAAGTTTGGCTTTTCCTAAACTCACCCCTGTAAAACCTCTCTGATGCAGACCATAGTTCCCCCTGCCCATGAGCGAGGCTCATTTTTAATCCTTGTTAAGAGTCAACAGAAACGGCTTACTAGTATACTTGACAGTAATTCCACTGCTCTTTCATGCATGGTTTGAGCATCTGATAAAAAGAATGCCTTAACAAACACTCAAGAAAAAACTGTTTGTTAAAAATTCAATACTTTTCACCCATTCAGTAAAAGACCCAGAGAGCTCCCTGTTTCTCTGAGACCTTTAGCAAGTCCTCCAGCAAAAGCTGGGAAGACCAGACTTGATAAACCTGAGATTTCCAGGGTAAAAAACAAACCACAAAACCAACAGCAACCTCTCCACAAAACAAAACAAACAAAAAACCATATACACTTTAAAAACCCTATAAAAGCATCTTTATACATTATGAAAGAAGAAGGTGGGGAAGCAGGGGAGCTAGGAAAGCAGGTGGAATGAGGGTGAAGAAGAGAGACTGTGAAGGAGGTGAGACAGTGTGCATGGAACTTAGCTTGGGTCATCATATACCTCCTTTAACTCTGACTACAGCACTTGTTTTTTCTCATTTCCTGACTACACATAGTGTATATGGAGCAGACAGTCAATGTTTTTCCGTGACAGCCAGAATTTGGACAGATGTCTCAGTGATAAAAATCCAGAGCTATGCCTCCACAGCAGGTAATTTACAGATTTTGCTCTGTGTATAGACAAAGGGAACATAAGAATTTCCCCCTTACAATTGTTTTGTCTTCTTGCTTCAAAAGTAGAAACAGTTGCTAGGAAAGAAGATACAAAACAACAACAACAAAAACAAACAAACAAAAATTCAAAAGAATAATTGTTTCTAACAATCCAAAAGTTATTTTGATCACTTTGATCAGTGTTTTGTTCTTATGGGGGTTAAGTATTGGGTCTGGTATTTATTTTTTATTTGTCTTTTCAGTATTTAGTGCAAATCCTGAAGTCTTGCTCAGTTTTGTTCAGCCCTTGTACAGGTAGAAGTCCCACTGATTTCAACTGGAGCTGTGTGTTTTGTTTGTATTTATGTTCATCTGAGGCTTTTGCTTTAAAAATGCATCCAGGAGCCATTTCTGGGGCTGATATTTATGACATTTCAGTACCTGATTAGTGGCAATGCCATGAGGAGATCAGGTCTCACATTCTTTCAGCACTATAAAGCAAAAGTAAGTAACACAAATATGGAGATATTTCATTTTATTTAAATTTACCCCCAGCTATTTTTGTCTTAAAACAGGTAGCTATGGATTTTGTACACAAGTCCAAATTTTTATGGGCCCAGTTCAAGTAAGCAGATGACTGGAAAGTAGCTAATGTCAATTTGTAAAAAGGGCTTCAGAGGAGGTCATGGCAATTACCGGCCAGTAAACCTAACTTCAGAACCAGGCAAATTTGTAGAAATTATAGTAAAGAAAAGAATTATCAGACACATAGATAAACATGATTTGTTGGTGAAGAATCAACAGAACTTTTGTAAAGGGAAATCATGCCTCACCAGTCTATTAGAATTCTCTGAGGGAGTCAACAAGCATGTGGATAAGGCTGATCCAGTTGATACAGTGTACTTGAATTTTCAGAAAGCCTTTGACAACATCCATCACCAAAGGCTCTTAAAGAAACTAAATAGCCACGGAATAAGACAAAAGTTTCCATCATGGGTCAATAACAGGTTGAAAGATGGTCAAGTCTCACAGTGAAGAGAGGGGAAAAGCAGGGTCTCCCAAGGATCTTACTGGAAGCAGTGCTGTTCAACATATTCATCAATGATCTGGAAAACGGGGTGAAGTGGCAAGTTTGTAGATGATACAAAATTATTCAAGGCTGTTGTGTCCAAAGCAGACTGTGAGGAGTTATAGAGGGATCTCACAATACTGGGTGACGGGGTAACAAAATGGGAGATGAAATTCAAGATTGATAAATGCAAAGTAATGCCCATTGGAAAAAATAATCCCAACTATACATATATAATGATGGGTCTAAATTAGCTATTACCACCTAAGGAAGAGATCTTGGAGTCACTGTGAATAGTCCTTTGAAAACTTCTGCTTAATGCGCAGCAGTGGTCAAAAAAGGCTAACAGTATGTTAGGAACTATTAGGAAAGGGATAGAAAATAAGATGGAAAATATCATAGTGCCACTATATAAATCCATGATGCACCCACACCTCATTTACTGTGTCCAGTTCTGGTTTTTCCATCTCAAAAAAGGTTCAGAGAAGGGCAACAAAGATGATCAAGGGTATAGAACAGCTTCCATATGAGGAGAGACTAAAACGATTAGAGCTGTTCAGTTCACACAATGGACAAGTAGCCTCTGGAACTCATTGCCATGGGATGTTGTGATGGCCAAAAGTATAACTGGGTTCAAAAAAGAGCTGGATAAGTTCATGCAGAATATGTCCATCATGGCTGTTAGCCAAGATTGTCAGTGATGCAACCCCAGGTTCGGGGCCACTTTAAACCTCTGACTACCTGAAGACAGGAGTGGATCACTCCATAATTGTCCTGTTCTGTATGCTTCCCCTGAAGTCTGGTAATGGCCAATGTTGGAGACAGGTTACTGGGCAAGATGGACCCTGGTCTTATCCAATATGGCAGGCCTTATGTTCTTAAAGCACTTAAAATCATGGCTAATTTTAATCACATACTTTAGTACTTTGTTGAACTGGGGGCTACATTCTGTTTGCTCCTTTCCCATTTGTTTATCTCTCTGGCTTCAGTGCCATATCTTACTCCGAGAAGAAAAGGATGGTATCAAATCACAACCTGAAACTTTATGTACAGAACATTTAACTGTGAACTTTATGATTTGAAAGTTGAACATTAAACAGCCTCTTTGTGAAGATTATTCAAGGGCCCAATCCAACTCCCATTGAAGCCAATGTGAGTTTTCCCATTAATTTAAATAGGAACAGGATTGGTCATATAATGAGTTTCATCTGGGGAATCGATGGGACCAGTAAACTTTAACTGTAACATTTGCAAACAGAGAATCTGATCCTGCAGTTTACTATGGGTATCTCTACGCTGCAATAAAAGACCTGCAGCATGGCCCTTTCTGGACAGGTCAGCTGACTCAGGCTCATGGGGCTATAAAAATACAGTGTAGATATTTGGGCTTAGGCTGGAGCCCAGGCTCTGAGAACCTGTGAGTGGGGGAAGTATCAGGGGGTAGCCGTGTTAGTCTGTATCTACAAAAACAACAAGGAGTCTGGTGGCACCTTAAAGACTAACAGATTTATTTGGGCATAAGCTTTCGTGAGTAAA